TATATATATATATGCTCATGTGTGTAATGCCCACAGAAGCCAGAAAAGAACGTCAGAGCCCCTGAACTGGAGTTATAAACCATTGTTAGCTGCCATGTGGGTCCTGGGAACCAAACCCGGATCCTCTGTAAGAGTAGCCAGTGCTCTTAACCGCTGAGCCATCTCTCCAGCCACCCCCCACCAAGTGTGTACTTCTTATGAGATACGTATTTCTTTATTGGATGTCATCATTACTGTTTATCATAATGTTGAACTAAAGAAAAAACTTTAGTTTCCTGTTTGGACATCTTCATCCTTTTCCTCTAGAGACTGTATACAAGCTTATTCTTCATCCACATAATTCACCCAGTATCGACGTACTGTCTTGGCCTCCTAGAATGAACAAAAGAACAAAAGGCTGGAGAGATGGCTTAGCAGTTAAGCACACTGGCTGTCCTTGTAGAAGACCCAGGTTGGAATCCCAGCACCCACATGGCAGCTAACAACCATCCATAACTCCAGCTCCAGGGAATTTGACACCCTCCTCTGTCCTCTGAGGGCATTGCATAACACAGGTGCACTTACCTACCTGCAGGCATAACACTCATACATATAAAATAAAAATAATTTTTTAAATATTTTATTATTTTTATTTTATGTGTATGAGCATATTGCCTGCTTGTAAGTAAGTGCACCTGTGTTATGCAATGCCCACGGAGGACAGAAGAGGCCATTGGATCCCCTGGAACTGGAGTTAAGGACCATTGTTAGCTGCCATGTAGGTGCTGGAATTCGAACCTGGGTCTTCTGCAAGAACAACCAGTGTTCTTAACCACTGAGCCATCTTTCCAGCACAATAAAAATAAATTTTTTAAAAAATTAAAAATAAATACATTGACATAACTGTTTCTAACTCGTGTATAAAACTCTGAGGATGGCACCCATAGGCTGGATTGTGTACTAACTTTAACTCATTCTTAGCCATTTACTCCAACGCCCCAGGAATTAGAAATCAATTCATTCCTCTCCAGTGCCCACCATTACCTTGATGCTTTAGAACTTCACCTCTGGGCTGCTGGCCCATCTAATTCTCTAGCCTGGATCCTCAGGAACCTCACACTTGCTGGGATCCTAATCCTTCCACCTCCCCCTCCTTCCACCACCTCCTGCTCTCATCTGCCCTTTGATCTTATGGAGAGCCACAGCCTCCACCCTGGCAGAGAGAAGACAGGAACCAACCAACACAGGATGGGTCTGGATTACGTGTTCCAAGGTCAGGGGAGCTATGGCCACCAGAGCAGGCGCAGATCCACCCTTCATGGGCTCCGGAAGGTCACTCCTACAGGAAAGAGAGGAGAGACTTCTCTTAAAGACCACATTGAAGCTGTTGTCTGGGCATAAACTCAAAATGGCGATACACCGATACTTATTTTCTGCAAATATAACATTTTTCCCTTTTCATTCATTTTTCTGATATTAACCTTTTGGGGGTCACAGACTTTGTCAATAATAAGTTTTTTCTAAAACTTTCTTTAAGCCCTCTCTCCATGACAATAATGTGTCCTTAATCATGCTCAGTGAACTGCAAGTGCCGGTACCTGTCACCTCCCTGAGGTTATGAGTCTTAAGCATCCATTCCCACATTTAGTCCCTCGGGACTCTGAGTATGTTGCCCTGGTGAACCTCACATTGAGTGTATATCAATTTAGTGACTATCCCTACCTCCTTTCCTAATGACTTGAATCCATAAGACTATTTTAGGACAAACGAACTGGCGCTGGAGGAGATCATAGTCTCTAGGTCTTTAGAAATAAGGTAAATATATTTTTGGATTAGCATTTTGTATTTAACAGTTTCACTTTGGCAGATGTTTTGAGAGCCACAGATTCTAGCTAAGATGGCATTTGCTTCTAGTAAGACATTCCAGTCCTTGTAAAGGGCCATTATCAGCAAAACACAGTGTGTGTGCATCTGTGTCTACACGTTTGTGTGTGTGTGTGTGTGTGTGTGTGTGTGTGCATTTGTCTATATAGGAAAAAAATGGCATGTGTCCTGAAACTTTGCTGAAAATCTAAAGACATGGAGGATTTTCCCTGCCAGTTCCTTGAACAAGAAGCTGCATCTCAAGGATGAGTGTGTGATAGCATCATCTGAGTTACAAGGTGCTTTACTAAACTGTTAAGAACCTTCACTGCACTCAATCTGGACAGGACTCCGAAAAGAAAAGTGGACCCTGATCATGCCAAAGTAACAACAGATTGAAAACAGCATCCAGTCAGAAGGCTGTACCAAGCCTCATCAAGCCAGAGTGAGGCCAAAAGTGACGGTCCCCAAATCACTCTGAGCAGCAACAGAGACCAGGTTGGGACTAGACTTGTCGTTGTTAGAGCAGGGTCATCAGCACAGGGAGCATTTGGTCAGGCTGTGTACTCACTAGCTGAGTAACTCCAAGCCAAAGTTGTCTTACACAAGTGTCCCACACCCCAGGAGGCTGTGGGATCTAAGAAGATAAGCACGGTGTTAGTGTCTAGACCAGCGTGACACCTGGTCAGGACCAGCTGGCAGCCTGCAGCTCCTGTTCCCCCTTCTTATGAAATTACTGGTCAGGACAGTGAAGAACTGGGTCTGGACTAGACATGAGTTACAAGTGCTGTGTGATTGGACCAGCCTTTCAAAGAGCTGGTGCCACGGCCAGGCAAAACGTAGGACACCTTGCTTACATCACCGAACTCGGTCCTCCAACAACCCAAGGAGCAAGCATCACCACGTCTGCTATGCAAGATGAAGAAAGTGAGGCTGAGCCTGACCGAGGCTCACAGCTGTGAAAGAGCAGGACAGGTCTGACTCTGTACGCTGCTCACAGCTGGGAGAAGACCAACTGCAGCCTGGGAAGGCGGCTCAGTGGTAGAGCATCTGCCTGACATACACAGGATCTGAAGTTCAATCCCCAGCACTGTAAAACTTTCAAAAAGAAAACTGCCCCACAGGATAACAACTCATTTCAGGATGGAGCTGTGCAGTGTGCCCGCTCCTGCAGAAGCAGGACATCTTGCAGTGAGCCGCGCCACAGCATCCTGTCCTCACCAGGAGCTCCACGTGAGCAGAGGGTGGTGGGACCAGATGACAATTCATGCTCTCAGACTCCAGAGAAGCTGTGATGGAGGATGGTGCCTTGAGGCAGCGGCGGCTGGGCACCTGCCCATGTGTTAGTGCCAAGGACAATTGAGGAAGGAGTCTGGGGCTGGCAGAGACCCAAAGCAGGAGGCCGGGGGTGAGATCTGGACCTCACATTTCCTACTTCTGAGTCTTTTCACCTCCCACTGACAGAAAGGCCACAGTGTGGTTTTTCATTTATTTATTTGCTTTTGGCAAAACTTCCTCATTTCTCACTTTTTATTTCTCTTATTTTTTACATTTATTTATTGTGTGTGCATACACATGCATGCATGCACACACATGCCACAGCACGCATGTCAAAGTCAGAGGACAACTCACAGGAGACAATTTTTCTCCTTCCAAGATGAGGGCCCCAGGGACTGAACTCGGGCTTGGTGGCAAGCCACTTTACCTGCTGAGCCATCTCGCCAGCCTAATGATCATTACTGTGAGACTTACATGCCACCCGGGACCACATGGTGTCCTCTTGTCTTCTGGTGGAAGCCTCTCTGTGGACTCGCTGGGCTCTGGCACTTCAGAAAGCAGAGTGCAGGTGGTGCTCGAGGTTGCTGCCCAGTGGGCAAAGGGTCCTCTGCCCCTGTCTCCCTGGGCGGGGCCTCCGCTTGCTGCATGAGTCCACTAGGGACCATATAATCCAGCTTTTGGGAGTAAAGGACACTCATTTCGTTGTCATTCAGACAGAATTTTAGGTCAGAATTTGGGAAGAAAGGGTAGGCAATGCTCATTAACGTACATATGCATATTTAAATTTTTCATTATCTGATCCGTGCTAGTCTACAAAATCACACCCGACTGCCAAGAACCATCACTTGGGCCCCTCTTCTGGCTACAGCGCTTGTCCATCACCAGGCGCACTGTGACAAGGGAAGGAGCAGGAAGTGAGGCCCGAAGGGGAAAGGTGAGGTGCTGGGACCATTTGTTCTGCTTTTCAGTTGGACTCAATATCGGTAAGAAATTTTTTTCATAAAATTTTATTTTTATTTTTAGTGTATGAATGTTTTGCCTGCATGTAGGTAAGTACACTCATGTCATGCAATGCCCATATAGGCCAGAAGAGGGCATCAGATCCCTCTAGAACTAGAATTAAGGATGGTTGTTAGCTGCCATGGGGGTGCTAGGAATTGAACCCAGGTCCTCTGCAAGAGCAGTCAGTGCTCTCAACCTCTGAGTCATCTCTCCAACCCCTCAGTAGTTTTCTCTGAGATGGGATCTCATATAGCCCAGGCTGGCCAAACTCATTATGTAGCCAAAAATGACTGAACTTTCCATCCTCCTGGCTCCACTTCCCAAGTGCTAGGATTACAGGCATGTGCCACCATGCCCTGTTTATGTGATGCTGAGGTTTGAACCCAGTATTTCCTACATGTTTGGGAAGCACTCTGTCAACTGAGCTATATCTGCAGGCCCTGGACTTAAGATTTTATTTCATTGTAACCCAAACAATCCTGTCCATCCCTGACCACCCCCACATAAGATCCTGAGGTGAATTACAATTTGTCATGAATGGACTGGATCTTCACTCTGATTCTGGTCAGTGTCAACAGGCAGTTTCCTACACCCACAGGAACTGCAGATGTGACACCTCAGGCCTTGCAGTAAGGAGACACCATCCATCCCATCCCATCTCTGCCTGCACTTCCCAAATCTATGTCCAAGGCAGGACAGACATCACGTGTGCTGCATCTAGGCCCATAGGACACTGACCAGACCTCCAGCTCTGTGCTCAGCATACAGGTCTGCAAAGCGGCCGTCCTTCTCCAGCAGTCTTCCCGGGTGGCACCAAACAGAGAAAAGCAAACACAGGGGAAGCTGTCAGGCTTGGCACTCCTTGAGTACACAGAGGCTTTGGTCACAGGCCCTCTGCATCCTCACGCTGGATGCCCTTGGCTGGGCTTCATCCCACAGGAGGCCACGGTGATGAGGCAGCTGCAGCCTAGCGAGCGTGCAGTTATGCTGGATGGGTGGCATGAATTTCAGATGAGCTGTGTGGCAATCCATCCGCTGTTCAGGCCACAGACACTGTATTTTTCTTTTGATCTTACCATGTACTGAAAATAAATCTTGGCATAAAAATGGGCCTACATCAACTGCAAGAGCGCACTGTGCTGGAGGGAAGGCCCTGGGACAGGCTCGGGGGACAGTACCCTCTAACCACACTCTGGCTGTTCATGACGCACCCCATTAGCCTCTCTGGGCCTGGTTCCAGATCTGCAGTAAGTGATATACTCAGTTACTCACAGGACTGAGAAAGAGGACTATCTACCCTTAGGAAGATGTTCACAATGTAAGTGCCCTGCAGACACATCTCACAATGCACTAAAGGCACATTTCGCACCTTGTCCCCTTGCCTACATTCTGGAAACAGAGCTAAGGGAAACTCCTAATGCCTCAGCCAGCCCCAGAGACCTGGGACCTTGGATAATCCTTGGTCAAAGCACAGACTTCCTCATACAGCCTCAAGGAGTCCATTAATTGTACTGGGGCTAGTTTTTCTTTTGCTATTTTTGTTTTGGTTTGTTGGTTTGTTTGGGAAATTATTTGTATTTCACTGTGTTCCCCTGGCTGGTCCCAAATTCCCTATGTAGACCAGGCTGGCCTTGAACTCATAGCGATCCATCTGCCTCTGTCTCTCATGTACTGGGATTAAAGGTGTGCACCAGCAGGCCAGCCCCGGCGCTGTGCTCAGGCCACAGGCTCTAGAATGTACCTCTGGTGTTCCTCAGCAGACCCTGGCATGCTCTCCCTTTCCTTCCTCGTTGCTGCTCCTGGAGTGCCCGGGGCATCTGCAGCAACGAAGTGAGCCACGCTGGGCTCCCTGGGGCTCAGCTGAGCCCACAGCACAGCCAGGGTCACCAGAGACCAAAGGAAAGCAAGCCAGGCTGGCTGACCTGAGCTAGGAGAGGACAGGTGCCGTTTGTCTCCGTGCAAACACCAAGGCAGAAGCAAACCCAGGGTCTTCTGTCACCTCTGACAGCTGTTTGACAAATTGCTTTCTTGGGAAGAGCGCTCCAGCCAGGGGAGGACGGGTATTAATTGTGAGCTCTGGTCGCTGCCTTTGAGGTACACAGGGAGCCCCAACAGCTGGAGAATGCAGCTCCGGTAAGGGACTTCAGGAGTCCCGGGGTACAGGCTGTGTGCACCCAGGAGGGGGTTAGAGGAGGTCCTTGCATGAGGCTCCTGCAGAGGTGACAGGTGGCCCCCAATGCCAGTCTCAGACAAAGGTGACCTCCCATTTCAAGGGAGAAGAGGGGAGGGAAACCAGCACAGACCTGAGGGTGCTGCATGGGTGCCCACGTAGTGACTGAGCTGTGACTCGGTAAGCACAGCTACGTCCCAGAAGCCTTTTCCTGAGGGCTTCCCTGCGTCACCCACATTTTCAGGGATCCCAGACCTTTGTCTCTATGTACTCGATGTAAGAAAATGGAAAACATACTAACTTCAGAGAAAAAGAGGCAAACAGGATTTTTTGAAAACTCGGCCTTCTGTGTTTTCAATCTAAAATTTGTTTTTATTATGTACCAAAGGCTATTTATTTCCTGTTCCTGTGAATTAAATAATGCAAAGAACTTCATGCAACTCACGCCCTTGAAGGGGCCTTCGCTCCCTGCACAGTGAGCGTTATTTGGATATTGTTCCTGAGTTGATCCCTGGTGTGTGGAAATGGGGATCAACTGAAGGAAGGGAAGACCTGCGTTTCCACAATCATGTGGATTGGCTTAATCCAAGATAAAGAGAATATTTTGAAGGTACTGAAGGAAATCCTGAGGAAGAGGACAGTGTTGGGGGGGGGGCGGACCTGATCACAGGCACTGCTGGATCTGGGACTCACACTTGGGAAGAGGGTCATATTCCCAGGCCAGACAGGCCTTTCCTAGCCCTGGCAATTTCCCCCCATTCCAGCTGATTAAAGGATGCCAGAAAATGAGTTACTCTTAAATTGCAACAACAAAGGCTTGTCTCCTCTTTTCAATCAAAACAGCTTGGCTGCCCAATTCAAATGCTAATAGCGGGAACTGAATTGGTCCCTAAACGAGGGAAACACTCCCCCAACACCACCCACCACCCCCAAATGACCAGCAAGTGGCTTCTTTGCTATAAGAATCTGCAGGCTTCCCTCAGGTGGATGCTCTGTTAAATGCCTCCTGGAAACAGCCCTGTGGTGGTGGATGAGGAAGTTTCTCAGAGGAGTCTAGAGGAGAGGCTTTGATCCACACAGGTCCTGACTGGAAAAGAACTTGGCCTCCTGTAGGATCAGCTCCCATGTTGAGTATTCAGGACATTTTACTGGATCTGAAGGCAACCTCAGACAGAGTGCCTTGTTGAGGAGAAAGCTCCAGGTTTGGAGCTGGTTGCCATCGCCCCAGGCCAGCCTACTTTCTCGATAGTCTTGCTCCCATGAGTTCTCAACAAAGGACTTACTTGTTTTGTCAGTTCCCTAGGACCCATTTCCTCGCCTCGCCCCCTCCCTGACACTGTGGTAGACACCTGCACAGCCTGCAACCTCCTGCTCACTTTATCCTCCTGAAGCTCATAGGGAAGGCCACGGCCTGATGGCCCAAGTTCAAATCCTGACTCTTTCCACTTTGGCGGCAACCTCAGGCCAGGTCCTGTAGGGTTCATTGTGTCCTCGGTCATTGTTGGAGGAACATGAGGACAATGCCCACCTTCATGTAGTTGCAGGGAGTATTCACCGTGCACTGTGGGGGTGCTGCAGCCAGAAGGCTGAGACCCCAGCCCACGTCTCCTGCCATATGGAGCCTTGGTCCCTTTTTCTATAAGGGTCTTGGAACACCGCTTATCTCTAAGGTCCTCCTGAAGAGTAGCTGGTACACTAGGTCCAGGCCCTAACCCACAGCTGGGATTAGATTATTTTCATTCACAGAAAATGGAGATGACATGCTTTGAACACTTTGCCTCTGCCGTTACTGCATCTTGTTATATTTACTTTGCTTTTTGCCTTGTTGGTCACTTGCACTGTCTGTTTTGACATCCCCACTACACTCAGCACATCCCAAAGCTGTGTGGGTAACCAGGAGGTCTACTTCCATCCGACTAGTGAGTTCTCATTGCTAGAGTCAGGTTTCCACTAACGGGCTGACCATTCCAGTCCTAGGGTGAAGAGCCTCCTCCTTCCTACGTTCTTCCAGAGCCTCAAGGGGCAGAGGTGGAGTTCCCATTCAGTTACACTGTACCAGGACCTCCCTCGTGATTGGAACACACGTTCTTTTTCTAGGAGGTAGTTTCAAGACTACTTGGTAGAGTGACAATTTCTTAGACTATCGATGTGAAAAGGAGGGGGAAGATGACAGGGACCAGAGTGTTCAGACATACTTGAAGCAGACGTTAGGCCTGGCACCCAGCTCAGTGGTAAAGCACTTGCTTAGCTTGGCCAGGCTTTGGCTTCTATAGGAAGGGAAGGGGGTGGGAGGAAAGGGAAGGGAAGAAAGCCCAAACCTGAGCATGCTGGTTCACACCAGAATCCCAGCCCTTGCAAAACTGAAGCAGGAGGATTCTGAGTTTGGGCTGCAGAGAAAACCAAAACCATGTGTCAAAAAAAGGGGGCGGGGCTGGAGAGATGGCTCAGTGATTAAGAACACTGGTTGTTCTTGCAGAAGACCCGGGTTCGAATCCCAGCACCCACATGGCAGTTAACAACTGTCCATAACTCCAGGGGATCTGACAGCCTCTTCTGTCCTCCTCAGGCATTGCATGACATGGGTGCACTTACATGCAGGCAATACACACATACACAAAATAAAAATAATAAATAAAATATTTTTTTAAATGGGGGTGATGGCACACAGAGGCAGGCAGAGTTCTATGAAACTGAGACCAGCCTGGTTGACATAACAAGTCCAGGCCAGCCGGGGCTACAGGGAGACCCCACTTCAGAAAACAAAATAAAAGGGAAGGACTTACCTTCTGGAAAATTCCATGTTAGCCAGAGAAGTTGAATACATCTGATACAAAAGACTAAGATACGTCTCACTTCGGGACTTCTTGTTTGTCTTACAAACCGTCTTGTTCTGTAAGACACATTTCATCTTAACACATTTTTCACGCTCACCTTGCAACTAGCATTTGAATGTCCCCCAGATGGGGAAGCAAACCCCCTCACACATCTCCCGCACTAACTGATACTGTGCAGATTTTCAGATGGTTCGGTCTTAATAGCTGCTCTCCCCTATTTACGTGATGATGCCTGTGGTATGGGGGGCATTCCACCTGCCTGCCTCCTCAGCTTCACAGTCCTCTAGGTGTGATGTTAGTACTTAGGGCTGGGGTGTGGGAGGGCACAAGGGAACCTACATCAGGCTAACACCGGAAAAACAAGATATTTTAATAACACAGCGAAAGGTGCATCAAGTTCACTGTTTGGGATAATGTTTTAAAAATCCCAACACACTGATATGACTTAAACCACTCTTTAACAAACAAGGAGAAAGTATTTATATTTACTTAAGGATTTAATTGTTTTGGGGGGACCTCAATATATGCTAAGTATAAGCTTAGCTACTAAGCTACAGCCCCACACTGGATATTACATAAAGAAAAAAAAACCCTACAAAAATAGCTAGAAAGCCAGAGTCAAATACAGTTACAGGGACAGGGGAGAGGATGGTTCAAAAAGCAGATGGCAAACTGATGAGGGTTGTGAAGCTGGGGACGGGGCAGGTGAAGGGACTGCCTGTCTGTGCCCTAGGAAAGGCTCCAGCCCCAGAGGCCTGCAATAGGGAGTCAACTACAGTTCAGCTAACACTCCAAACTGAGACTGCCACCCTAGGCATGCTGGGACTGGGAGCACACCCTGCTCCTCTGAGCCAGGCAGAACCTGCCATCACAGTTACATGCAGTCCTACCAAAGTGGGCTCTCCCAGACTGGACTAGAGCGACAACCAGACAACATAGCCACAGCTCAGGAAAAGGAAACTGGAAATAAAGAGGTTGCCTAGACCTGGGGGCACAAGCCCATCATCCCAGCTACTATGGAGAATGAGGCTGAGAGATTGCACATTAACTGCCTGCCTAGGCAACTTAAGGAGACCCTGTTTCAAAACATAAAATTTTAAATGGACTGGAGATGTGGCTCGTGGCTAAAGTGCTTGCCTGGTATGTGTGAAGCCCTGGGCTCAATCTCCAGTGTCACGGGAGAGGGAGGAGGAGAAGCTACAGCGAGAAAAAGGGGAGGGAGGGACGCGATATAGTCCAGGCAGGTCCCTAAGAAGGGTGCCAACTTAAGGAGACCCTGTTTCAAAACATAAAATTTTAAATGGACTGGAGATGTGGCTCGTGGCTAAAGTGCTTGCCTGGTATGTGTGAAGCCCTGGGCTCAATCTCCAGTGTCACGGGAGAGGGAGGAGGAGAAGCTGCAGCGAGAAAAAGGGGAGGGAGGGACGCAATATAGTCCAGGCCGGTCCCTAAGAAGGGTGTGTGGTAGAATCGCTGCATTTCGCAGGAGGGGATGTATGTATGGGGCTGCGCATCACTTTGTTTATGAGTACATCCTCACAAATGTTTCTTTTACCTGGTCCTGAGCTTGGGAGAATGCTCTATGTGCCTATAGCCTGGTAAATAAATTAAACATGGTCCATTTCTAGCCTTCATAGTTCAAGGCAGCCTTGGAGGGAAGCTTGCTCATTACATTGCAGAGCTTGAAGAATCTCAGCACGCCAAGGTGCTCACACTTTGATAGAGCCGCAGACTCACAGAAGCTGGATGGGTTTGTAGATAGATAATCCAGCCAAACACACCTGCTTTTGTGACCTGCTCTCCAACCCAGCTCCTTCGCCATCCCTTGGTAAAGTGACATCCTGAGCTTTCCTCCTCCCCTTCTCCACTACTGATTCCGGATTTCCCACCTCCCACCCTTTGGCCCTCTTCTAGGAATAAAGGTGTTCTAAAGGCCCAGCAGGGAGAGAAAGGTCACAGAAAGGTGCAGCGGTGACTGTGGAGTCAGAGTCGCACACACTCACCACCTCCTGTCCCTGATGCAGTCTTCGGGTCGCTTCTCGCTGTTGGCACCTTCTCCTCCATTCCGTAAGTCGAGAAAGAAGATTCTTAGAAGAAAATGAGAGGTCCTCTTACAAACAACTTCAACACCAGGGCTAGCATTGTAGCTTGGGTCGTAGAGTGCTTGCTTAGCATGCACAAAGCCCTGGAGTTGATCCCTAGCACCCCAGGAAGCCAGGTGTGGTGGTACATGCCTATAATCCCAACATTCAGGAGGTGGCAAAGAAGGATCAGGGGTTCAAGACCATCCTCCTTGGCCAGCCTGAACTGCAGGAGGCCATACACAGGAGTGGAGCCCCTTTCCTGCGTCAGTAAAGACCACAGCACTTCACCAGCAGCAGGAACATGATCTAGGAAATCTAACGGATTTTCTACTGGTGATGCACACTAGTAGTTTAAAGACACATGGTCATTCCATGTGGTCCTTTTCAACAAGGTGCAGAATGTTCTCCCCTTCCAAACTCCACCACCTTTTGACAGCCCTGCCCTCATCACAGGGACCGAGGCCTGCTTCCATCTTCTGGACATGCTGGGCTCACTTGACCCCCAGCCTCTGAGCCTTTGTGCTCCTGCTCTGGACAGCTGTGTGATATCACCACACTGGGCTTGTCCCAGCCACTTCCCCTTCTTCTCAGTGTCATCTGCATCGATCTCGGCCACCCAGAGAGAGCTGGTGAGGTGGGTAGGAACATCCCCAGGAGCCACCACACCACAGTCAGGAGCAGAGAGCAGCCGAGACCCATGGGAACGTGAGGAGCAGAGGCAGGAAGAGGGGCACAGGTTCCTGAGCCGCACACCGAGAACAGAGTAAATGCAGCCAACGAGGCCAAGGCTGGGCACGGGAACGAAGGGAAGAAAATGAAAGCCAGAGAACCAGATATGACCTCATGCAGATTTGGCAAGTTAGGGGAGGCATATGGCCTGGTCCTGGAGCTCCCCAAATATCAAACACCCGCACCCCAAGTGAGAAACCTTGGTAATCATAAAGAAATTAAATGTAGGCATTCCCAACCCAGATGGTTTCATGAAAGAATTAGACCCAACACTTAAGAATAATTAACACAAAACTTTACACACTCTGGACGATGACTGAGGAGAGGCGCGATTCCCACGTCGTTTTATGAGGCCAGTATCATCCTGACATCAAAAAAAGAGAAAGGAAAAAACAGAGGGAAACTGCAAACCAAGGGCTTCATTGTCAGGCAACCTAACACCTATTCACTCCACACAGGGCTCTGACATACCAGAGAAAGGGTTCTATCCAAGTCCTGGTTGGCAAACCAGTGAGCTGACTGGGAGTTACCTGTGCTGACCCCAGCCGACCCCATGGTGGGTACCAGTGTCCAAGCAGCCCACAGGCCACCAGAGACAAAAGCTCATGGGAGGTTATCTTCAGCTGCAGAGGAAGGGACCTCATCTCTGGAAAAATGGACCCCAGGAGGGCCCAACATACATCAGAAAGTTGTTCTCAAGATGGAGGCCGGAGCCAGCACATGCAGGAGGAAACTGGGAAAGACTGGGAAAGGCAGATGAGGGACACAGAGGGTATCCAGGTGGGGAAGGCTGAGCACCAAGCTCATTGTGAGGATGTGTAAGGCCTGACTGAAGATCTGCGGAGTCAAGGAGATGGGGCTAAAGACAGGGAGAAGCTATGTGGGATTTTAATATAAAATGCCTCCCATGGCTTCCTGAGTTTGAACACTCGGTTTCCTGCTGGTGACGCTGTTTTGAGAGGTTGCTAATCTGTTCAGATATGAGCAAGCTGTCCAGGCCTGAGTCACAGCCAACATTCCTCTCCATGACGGACTGAATCGCCTTAAACCATGAGCCAAAATGGATCCTTCTGCCCTTAAGTTGTTCTAGTCATGTATTTTATCATGGTGACCAAGACATCATATACACGGAGGCATCAGCAACGGGACGTGGAGACAGACTGGGTGTGGGGAGGGAGAAGGCAGAGCAAGGGCAGCCCTAGGCTCTTGGCCTGCAGATAATTCCCTTTCTCTTCCTTCATTAACCCTCACAAGACTCCATCACTTGGCCCTGTTGGCAGTGAGGGATCCAGTGGCCTCCTAATGCCACACAACCCATCAGGAGCAGGGTCTCCCCAGAAGTAAGTGGTGTTAGGCGCACACACACACACACACACACACACACACACACACCTCCTTTTAGAATATCTCATGCAAAACTAAAAGTGACAGAAAAACTAAAATCCTGAAGTCCTTTTGTAAATAGAATAATACTGCAAGCAGAGTAGAAAGGAAAGAAAGGTATTAACTGGAACCTAAAACTCAGATATGAAATTAAGAGGAAACATTCAGTCCCACGGCTGCAGTCGGACTCTTTATCATCCATTCCTCTGAGGTCAAAAGCAGAGGCTATATACGGGAAACTACAAGAAGGGAGCCTAGTGGTGTCTTCACAGCTTAACCTTAAACTCAAACCCAGAGCGCTGTGGGTACACAGGTACATGCATTCATAGTACACAGATGTGCATGGGGCCCTTCACTAGGACCCTCCAGTACACAGATACCCATGGGACCCTGGACAGACCCTCCAGTACACAGATACCTATGGGACCCTGGACAGAAACTACAAGAAGGGAGCCTAGTGGTGTCTTCACAGCTTAACCTTAAACTCAAACCCAGAGCGCTGTGGGTACACAGGTACATGCATTCATAGTACACAGATGTGCATGGGGCCCTTCACTAGGACCCTCCAGTACACAGATACCCATGGGACCCTGGACAGACCCTCCAGTACACAGATACCCATGGGACCCTGGACAGACCCTCCAGTACACAGATACCCATGGGGCCCTGGACAGACCCTCCAGTTGAGGAACTTTCCCATGTGCTCAGCCCAGTGCTCCTGGGGACATGAAGAGCCATTCAGAACTGCATTAAATGCTGTGGGCACAGATCCCAAGGGCGGAAATGCATCCCTCCTTGTAAAGTTAGCTGGTGGTGGCTCAGCATAATACCTGGGACACCCGGTGAAGAGGAAAAGGAAGTGGTCAAAGTCATGCTTTTTTGCAAACTTCAAAGGTCGCCCCTCCCCCCTCTTTACATTTTACTGTCTGGGGAGCTAACTGGTCAGCAGCTGTTGGCCAAGATTGTCTCTGCATCAAACCTGCCTCCTCCCAGCCCATAAAACTATAGCCAGGAAGTGGGTGCAGGGGTGCCTCGAATAATCTCCCTAACACCCTTGGGTGAAGGCAAAGGACCAGGCCAAAGGAGGCTGGTGAAGCCTCGCTGAGTGGGTGAGTTCCAGGCCAGCGAGAGACCCTGTCTCAAAAAATAAGAGCTGTGACACCATGGTTGACCTCAAGCTCCACACACACGTACGGCTGGCTCTAGGCAGTGGAAACAGCATTTCTCCAGCACCAATCCTCTCGTTGCTGGAGCTCTCAAGGTGTCAGACACGCAGGGTCTCTACATACTGTGGGTTAACTGCATCCCTGGTTTAGCACTTAGACACTTGCATGGCTTTGGGGGAGGGCATTGCATGTAGCTATGGGATATGGGTATGTATGTTCACATGTGTGTGGGTACACGTGTATATATGTGTGTTGAGAGGCCAGAGGTTGATGTCAAGTGTCTTCCTTGATCTCTCTCTATTTACTGGGGCAGGGCCCCTGATTTGATTAATTTAGTTCGTGGCTTGTCCCTAGGGATCCCCTACCTTCACCTCCCAGCACTGATGACAGGCAGGCTGCATGCTTGGCTGGCTTTTAACTCGGTGCAGAGGATCCAAGCTCTGGACTTCATTTTTACACTGCAAGTGTGTCACCCAGTGAACCACCTCCCAAGCCCCCATAACATCTTTTTAAAACTCTTTTAGAATTTATTTTAGTGTTCGCATGTCAACATGTGTGTGTTGAGGTTGTGGGACTTGGCTCTCTCCTTCCACCATGTCGGTTCTGATGATTAAACTCAGGTCATCAGGCTTGGTGGCAAAGCATCTCACCTACTAAGCCATCTCTCCAGCCCCGTGACATTCTTCGTAACAAAGAAATCAGTCTATTGAGTATTTCACAATTTTTTCTACTGGATTCTACAAGGTGGTTCATGGCATCTCTTTCCACCCAGATTCTTCATGTGGTCAGAATAAATATATTTTGGACCATCTGAATTCCTAAGGTCTATGATTTCTACTTGCAGTGGAACCACAGAGTCTGCTTCATCTGGAGATGAGACACACTCCAGGTATAACTAAGACAAGTCCTATAACACAGCGTAAGTAAAATTTCACATGTCTTTTTCTGGCAGGAGTAGACAGTAAAGCTATTTCTATAGCTGCTGAAGTCCAAACTCCAGCATTTAAGGGCAGTCAGGCATTCTTATGTTGAAATTGGAAGTTTTAGAATTTTTGTTCATATACATATATATATATATATATATATATATATATGTCTTTTTGAGACAGGGTCTCCCTGTAGCCCCAGGTGGCCTGGAACTCACTATGTAGACCAGGCTGGCCTTGA